TCCACTCTCCCTTCACTGTCTCTAAAACCCAATGACTTTATTGAATCCCTGTTGTCTTCGGTAGGCATAGGGTGAAGCCCTTTACAGTAGATTATCAAGTGCTCAGCCGTCTCGTCCTCCTCTCTACAAGCAGTGCACACTGTATCCATTTCCTGGTACCTCGCTCTGCATGTTCTGGTTCGCACAACACCTGTCCTCGCCTCAAACAACAATGAGCTTCCCCCAGAATTGTCATAAATGCTTTCTTTGGCAATAACTGTTTTGTTTAATCTATAGCTTTCCAGAGCCGTCTTTGTCTGCATTCCGTCTAGCCATCGATCTCTTTCTGTGGCCTTAACTTTCTTCTAAACTGAGACCTGCTCTTCCGTATCTCCACTATAGCCTAAAAACTTTCCTCTTAATTTCCTAGTGCGCTGTCTCCACTTTGTGTCTATGCTCCTCATGTACAAATAGCTGAAAGCCTTTCGTGCCCATTGGTCCCCATCCATTTGCCTCAACCGATCCTCAAATTCTATCTTGCTCACCGCTTCCCTGCTCTCAAAAGACGCCCATCCCATGTCTCCTTGTACTCCCTGGTTTGGCGTTTTGCAATGTGCCCCCAAAGCCAGTCTACCTACTCCGCGCTGTTTTATTTCTAGTCTCGCATGTACTTCGGATTTCATGCATAGCACTGCGTTTCCAAAAGTCAAGCCAGGGACCATGACCCCTTCCAAATCTCTCTCACCACCTCATACCTGTTGTAATTCCAAAGTGCTCTATTTTTCATTACAGCTGCATTTCTGTTGCCCTTACCTATTATATACTTTTCATGCTCACTGAGATATTCTGCACCGTCACATATCCATACTCCTAGATACTTGTATTTACTAGCTCTCTCAACTGTAATATTCTGTATTTTCAGCCTCTCAACTTCATTATTGTTAAAAATCATGACTGCTGATTTTTCACTACTGAATTCTAAACCTAATTCCTCTCCTTCCTTACCACAGATGCTCATTATCTACGCTCGCACCACCACGCGGAAAGAACCGGCAGGCAGGAAAGGGGGGGGGGGGGGGGGGGGGGGGGCTGCGTTGGCGGCGTTGCTTTGGGGAGCTGGATGCGCCAGGCTGTCCGAATGCACCGACACATCGTGAAGGAAGTTTTCACCAGAAGCCTCCACGGCCCGTTCTTCAACAGATAAGATGTCGTGAGCATTCGAGAACCCACCTCGATCAAGAAAACAAGGAAAAACCTTTCTTGTCTATAGATGTTCTCGTTGTCTGCTGACCCTTGACATCCGCGTTTCAGTCCGGGTTCATTGCGTAGTAATTATTTCGCTACCGCTTTCTTGTAGCTTTCAAATGCTTGATTGTTGGCTTCTTGTATACGACATTACATTCGTGGCACGTCTAAAACCGATTTTCGCGATCTCCTTGCCTTACTGCGGCAGCGCGGCTCTGCCGAGCCGAAATAAGTGAGAGGCGTTCACTTGATCGAACGACGTTTTAGCGGATGAAAACAAGACCACGACGTTTCATCGAATGACTAGCGAATGGCGGCGTTCATATTAGCGAATAGGTCTAGCTACATAGACAGCTCGGATTGGCTTTCTTTTGTTATGTGCCGCCTTGTCTGCCGCCGCGAAGCGGCGTAAACGAAGGCTCCGAGTATGTTAACATGCGTCCCCCCTCCCCCCCCCCCCCCCACACACACACACACACACACACACGCTGCGAGCGTCTGGGTTCGAAACTATTAATTGCCAGTTCTAAAGGATGGTACTTACTTGAAGTGGAAGCTGGAATTCTACGAGGTACCAGGAGACACTTACTATCGGGCAACGAAGCAGGGTGCCTATGGGGGCGGAGTCTAGGAACGCTACGGATTAATATTGTGACAGGCGATCAGTTATGATAACAGAAGAAACTTCGACTCGTTTGTTCAGAAGTTCGCGGTGATATTTTATTAGCTCTCGTTACAGCACACCAAAGATCTTAGGCAGTGAAATTCACATCACGCAGGCTCGTGCGTCTTAGTCAAATGAGCGCAGTCGACGACGAGGTGTAATGAGCTTCTAAGCTTCACAAGGAAAATGCCCGCGAGAGAGAGTTTTGCGGTAGTCCAAAACACCAATCCAGCAGACGCACGTACGTACGTTTACTCCGGACTCCAAGAACCCGACGGCGCAAGATCAAAGCGATCAAAGAGCACCGCCGCCATCGCCACCCGGTTTTCTCTGCACTTTGCGCGACAACGGCAATGCAACGGAGGGCACTCGCCTCGGCGTTAACAATCCGCGAAATACACTACTTTGCCACTCTTTAAGCCATTCCAAATGATAAATGAAAATACCTCGGCGTTGTAGAGCGTCTGACGACACAATGGTGCCGAGCGCCTGCTCGGCATCGTCGTTGCTCGTGAAGGCCTGTTTATTTGTAGTTGAGACGATAATTCCACATCTTTCGTGCCACTCGTGTAGCTTGCAATAACTTCGAAGGGCAGGGGAATCTTTTCACGAGGACGTTGAAGACACGCAACACCGGAGCCACCAAAGCAATCGCACAAACCGTCGCCATGTTTGCTTCTTCGTCACTCGCGGCACGGTCAACTCGTCGCGAGATGTTTTCTGGCTCGGCTAGATGGAAACCAACAGCGGCAAAGTGGCGTAATGGACAAACGGCTCTCACATTACGGGCACTATACTCACATACCGCGGTAAACAGGACCGATGCCGGCGAAACGGCAGTCGGCACACCAGCGAAGAAGCCCGCGGCGGGAAGCAGCCGACGCAGGCCGACGCAGCCACCCCTCCCCGTGAGCGTCTGGGTTCGAGATTATTGGTCGCTTTTGCTCCTTGCGGTCGAGGCTAAAAAGAGCACTTCCGGACACTGGTCTATATAAGGAGTTTTCGTAGATCGTCTTGGCAGTCCCGCAACGCTTTCCGCAACCCGCTACGAACTCTACAGCCAAGGCCATCGGGGCGCAGGCGCAGTAGCGGCTTCTTCGTTGCGGGGGGCTTAGCGGAGGGGGAAGCGCGGTCTACGACAACTCCCTGATATTTCATCACCAACGTATCGACGCTAAATCAGCACAACGTCAATCCAATATCAGATCACCGTATGACGCACGATCGGCGCAATGTCAATCGATCGTCATCGTTGTATATCGTCGAATAAGTAGCACAGGTGCCGCTGTCTAAACGCATTACGTCGTGTGATCGTCGTGCAATTTTTTCCCCTGACTTTGACGCTTTTCTGTTTTATGATACTATTTTTCAAAACTCCCTTATTTACCACTGCTACTTAGGTTCAGTCTTCCAAGTTCTTGCTGGCTTCGACGAACCTGCCTCGTGTCGTTCTGAATACACCCTGTGTAAAAAAAAAAAAAAAAAAAAGATTATTATTATTATCATTATTATTATTATTAGTAGTAGTAGTAGTATTAGTAATAGTAGTAGTAGTAGTAATAGTATCAGTATTAGTATAAGTATTGTTGAAATATAATGAGGCGATTTCAAATGTTTGTGGCTTTCCGTGCCAGTGCTGCACCAGGATGTCGGCTTTGGGTCTCGTGTTCTATGCAAATAGACCCCTTTCGAAAGTCACGTGCCGATTATTAGAAGGCCGGAACCACTGCACAATGGCGGAGCAACCGCATCGAGAAACGTTCAAGTCATTCCATAAGATAGCTAACGTCGGAGCGCAGCTAATACTACGAGCCGACGAGCCAATCAAAAAGCGTCAAAAGTGCAACGTCACTGCGCTGATCACCTTTTTCTGTGGGTGTGTTTTTTCCAGTGTGTCGTGACGTTGAAATTTTAGTCGGCCATTGTGCAGGAGTTTCACAGCTGCCAAAAGAGGGCAGTATTTCGAAAAGGGTCGCCAAGTGTTCAGATTAGGGCCCAGACAAGATATCTTGGGATCGACGAGAGAACACACTGGCGACCTGGCGACATCTATCGTGTGGAACACTTGACATTTCCATATATTTCCTATTTTTAACTCAATATTATTTCTTTCTTCGCTCGAAAAGTTTTTGACAATGTTATCAAAAACCGTCTCTCATAAATGACACATGCATTTGATCTCGGAAATACTGCAAAACCTTCGCTCTAGTGAAATGCAGTTCCAGGTGCACCCCATAGATGGTGCCAATGTCTTCTGTTATATAAAGCCCCTATACACAGTAAAGTAGCGACATCCTTTGAAGAAAGCCGCCTGCTATCTTGGAGCGATCCAGGCGGCGCTACCGTCGACGCGCAAGCGCGAAAGAACAAAATAGAACAATAAAAGTGAGCATGAGGGACTAGGAGGGAGAAGGAATGCCTATGCTGTCGGAGTGCAGTGTATCCTATGAGCTCATATCGCCAATCAAATAACGCCGACTGTGCAACGTCTCGGCTTTCATTGTCTTTCTTTGAACACATTCTTCGCGGCTGGTAGACCGTGACAGTGCGCTTTTAGCCTGTGTGTATGTATTTGCATGTCTTTCAGCCTTTGACTTCGCGCTGACTCAAGTATAAAAAGGCCGTCTGCTATCTTGGAGCGATGCAGGCGGCGCTACCGTCGACACGTGGGTGTAAAAGAGCAAAATATAAAGATAAAATGTGTACGCGTCAGAGGAGGAGGGAGAAGATGTCGCTACCTTTCTTATTCCACAAGCCCTTGAGGCTTTCACCGGCTCGCTATTGAACTTTCAGAAATGTATTTTCTTCAAATAAAACTGTGTTCTATGTTCTATGTTCTAACAACTGCGTTGAAAGATGTTTTCGAACGGCGCCTTTGCCTATGGGGCAAAGGCGCCCATAGGCCGGTGGCGCCTTTGCCGGCGGCGGTGGCGGCCACCGGCACCGGTTGCCGGGAAAAAAAGGGGCGGGGGATCTCCCTCTTTATCGAATGAAAAGGAGAAATTGATGGATAAATTTCTCCTGTCTGGTTGCTCGTCGGCCTTTAAGGATGAATGGAGCACAGACGGTGCAATGATGCCACGGTCACCCACACCTTGGACGTTTTGTGCAGTGAACGGGAGCTTCTCGGAGTGAAGTGTGGCGTGCAAGCCGTCCGCGCCAAGATCTGCCGTCCGCCGGAGCGCCAGCGGCGTTTTGCGGCGGAGGAAGCGGAGACGGCGTCCAAGCTGCAGGAGGAGCGGCGGCGTCTGGAGACCACGGTGAAGACGTTGCACCAGAAGAGGCAGCTGGCCGAGAGGCAGCGGAAGGCGTTGGCCCAGCTCAAGGGCTCACTGTGCTCCAAGTTCGACGCTGGACAGCGGCTGGAGTCGCTGTTGCAGGACAAGGAGGAAGTGTCGGCGCTCAGGTCTGTCCTGCGCTCTCAGTCCAGTCTTGTCTTGTTGGCAGCTGTTGCGTATTTTTTTTTTCTTTTTGTAGTCGTCTGTTGTATTGTGCTTGGTGTCTTAATAGCACTAAGCACGAAGTCCGCGTGCAGCCGACAATACATCCGACGGAGCCAAGCAAGCGGTGCCAAAAGTGCTTCGTCATGGTGTTCGTCACCTTTGTACGTTCGCTATCGCCCACATACCAATCTCGCACAATTATTGCGCCGCAATCCTGCGCTTGTGTCTGTGCGCGATTGGTTTAGCTGGTTATAGCAAACCCACGAAGAGAACGAGCGCTGTGACTTTTGGCGGTGCTCCACGGATTGTAGCGCCGACCGCGGTCATACTTCAAGTGAAACGGAGTATAGGCAACCAGCTTGTGGAAGGTTTGCTATGACTTGTAAAACCTTTGGAAATCAAAGATTTCGAGCTTGCGGTTACGTTACAGGGATTAAAGAAAAGCAACAAAAAAGACGAAGATAGGATAAAACATCTTTTGGAAAGATGCTTTTCCTGTCTTCGTTCTATATGTTGCTTTCCTTTTACCCCTGTATGTTTGGGAACTTTCGGAGCGTGACCAAAAAGTGATCGTCTATATTTTTATCATTATTTATTTTCAACCTTTTCGAGAATAACTAGTGTTGCTGTCGTTTTAATTGCAATTTTTCATTGAATAAAACCAATTTTTTTCTTAGGGTGGAGTGGGGGAGAGAAGCAGAATTTTAGAGGCAGAAAAATGCTTTGTGTTCTCTACTTTGTAGCACTAGAAGAAAACTGGGGTGAGGAGTGTGCGTGCGCAGCTTTTACCAGAGTTCAAGGTGTGCAAGCGCACATGCTCCCATACCCCTGACCGCATTGCCACAGAAAGCTGTCGCCACTTATGCACCTTGCAAGTGGGATCCCGGCTTAACATCGAAGCGCGCGTCGAGGTGAGGCGGATCGACTCTCCAGCCAGGACGTTCCCTTATGGTGCCTGGAGCGCGTCTCCGACTGGTGTGTTTAACGTGCTATGCCGCCCATGAATCAAAAGTGGTCCGAAAATGGTAACAAATGACGTCACAAAAGCCGGAGTGCCATGCTATCGGATGTCGTGACCCTGGCGGTTGGTTTGAGAGATGCTGGCGAAAAGCTCGAGCGAACGCGAGCTTCGCTGTCGTCACGGCGTCCCAACTTTTGGCTGCCAAAGCTACCGTGGACTGACACACTGGAGAGCGACCTGTAGCAGAACAGGCGCCTGCCACATACAGCACCGCTGCTGGGACACCGCCAGTATCGCGACCGGCGACGGCATGCCACTTGTATGACGTCATGATGCGGAAACCGAGGGACGAGATTTTTGGGCGTGGTAAACACATCAGTCGGAGACCCGTTCTAGGCACCATAGTTCACTGCTTGTCGTACAATGTTGCCAAGCGTCTCTTGCTGAAGCATACACCACTGAGCGCAGAAAGAGACTAAAAAAATATGTCTAAAACATACAGGTGCTGTCTTCGACTACGAAATAGCACAAACAATTAAATAAAATACCTAAACAAGCAAGAAATAAAAAACTATCCACTTTCAAAGTGCGTATCAGAATGTGCCGTAAACCGCATGACCATTGCATCAACGATGGCTGCGCTCGTGGCAGCTCTGGCTTCCATAACGTGCTAGAACAGAGGCTGCGATTGATACCTCCTCCTGCGTCCCGAAAGAAAAGTGCGTCGCTAACGCTGGCCATCGGCAATGCAGCAGACGCCGCCATTTTGTCCTCGCGCACTCCAATGACGGGCCCCTAGCGCACCCCAACATGACGGAAACGTTACGCGGCGCCAGCATCGCTCAAAGTGGCAGCGCACAGGAGCCTTTCTTGCAAAACGTGTATACTATACGATATGAAACGAAGCGTCCAGGCACGATCGTTGTTACGCAACTATACTTCGAAAGTTTGGGGGTGCCTTCTTCTCTGTGGAGACTCGCTCAACCTTTCACGGCTCAGACTCACGTAAATATTTTCGCGAATTATATATTATTATTATTGTTGGTCTCGAAGAGATTCGGCGTTATTTGCCCCCCTCCCCCCTTGGGTGTCCGGGCCCGAGCCTGCTTCGTTCTTTTGTTCTTCGTCACAGCTTCGCTAATTCTTCCTCTCCCAAGAGCTTGATAGCATAGTGAGCCAACTCTTGTCCTGTGCCTTCTTTCTCTTTTAGAGCGCAGCTCTTAGGCGCCCGTTTCCGGCTTGAGCGGCGTCGGCGTCGCCGTCGGCGTAACCGTGAGGTCACGTCAACCCCTCCCCCGAGAACATGTGACCCTCAGTACCCTTCCCTCCGCGTCCTCAAGAGCTGCGCTCTAATTCGGCGTTACAGGGAGTTGTAAACGGCTTTCATTTTTCTTTTTCACTACCCTAACACTGAGAAAGGAGGAAGCCATAAGGGTTTTCAGCCTTCAAGAAGTGGACAGCCGTGCTCGCATAAAGGGACAACACCGTGGCATATATATTCCACCTCACTAGTTGCCATGGCGGGAGAGAGAGGAAACTTCTTTTGTACGAATCTTGGGTGACGGGCTAGTCTCCGTGGGGGACGAAACCGATGTCGGAGATACACAAAAAAGAGGGGAATTCTCCTTCTCTCCCGCTGCTACACTCGCACTCCCGTACCTTTAGTAACACCGCGCGCAGCTAGTGAGTATATACCTATTTCGCTTACTTTCGTTCCTAGCCACCTGGTAGGCATATCCGATATGGGAGACGGAAAAAATAAAACATTTCAACCGGTAAATAGTAAACGAAATAGAGGGGAGACGAAACGAAAATGAGTGACGTTTACTTTTATAACCTAAATGAATTCTATTGGCGTCGTGACGGCAAAACAACGTTTTCGCCTGTACTATACTCAAGATGGTGGCACCCTTGATGAAAAGGTCTATCGACCGTGTCTTTCTGTGTTGCTACTTTCAAACTGCATAGAAACAGGTGCTAGGACCGATTTTGGTCAAGGCGAGAGTAAGAGCATCATCATCTGCTCATTGGACATGGCGTCACAGCTTCCTTCCTGATGAGCATTTTTGACCCATTCGATTGGGCAGTGTTTCGGTGAGAGCGTCATACTAACTGAGACACTGCAAGAAAGTTCTCGCGGCGTCTGATGTGCTTGTCCTTGACACCTTCATTTACCGGTCGATGCCGTCTTGTGCACAGCAGCAGAACGACTTGAGGTTTACAAGAGCAGCGCGGGTTGTCGATGGCTTCCAACATGAAATAGCGGATTACAATTTCAGCCTGCGTCCGATCTCGCTTCGCCGCGGCGCTCGGTGCGTAGCAGACGATCCAACTTTTCTGTCTTTCAGGTCCGTTAGCACAGGACGAGGTGATGAAGCATAAGATATGCTCCACTTCGATCGCGAGCTTTCTGCCTTTGATGACACTTTGTCGCACACGCATCCAAAGCCCAGTGGAAGGCGCACAGTCGCAGCATTTGAAAAATCGCTAATCATACCACGGTTGAGAAGCGCAGTCGCAGCTAAATTTGAGAACGAAACATGAACTACCTCCTGCCCATCGGAATGTGAAAATGATGAGTCATAACGCTGCTGAACTGAATTTTGAAAAGTTCATTGCAACTTGCGAGATACAATCGCTTGAGCATTGCGGTGAAGAGCGGGGTTTCGGATGCACTTACGGTTCAGCTACTTCTGTGGCAGGCCAGAAATCTCCGACAAAACAAATTGGCAGCGCCAATCCACGCTGTGAAGGTGGTTGGTCAGCGAAGCTGTGGTATCACCTGCAACGATTGCCCACTCCACTAGACCAAATGATTGACGAAAAAAAAGTAAATGCACCGTATCAAAACGTTTGGGATAGACCTTTTTCATGGCAAACGCCATCAGGCGGCACTCTAGTTTTTGACATCTTAGAGAACCACAATTAATGAACAAAGCCCGCCTCGACACTGCCGCTTGAAATTTCGATGAAACGTTACAAATTTTCCAGGTGAACGCAAAAAAAAAACAAAAAAACACGGAGAAGCGCGAGATCTATTAAAATTTTTTGAATATTCTTTTCAACCAACTTGAATCCTTCAAGACATTAAACTGTACAGCCGAAGGCCCTCGTCAAATCTCCAACGTTGTTGTCCGTGTAGCATATATGCTTTCTAGCACTGTTGACATAAGCAAGCTCAACAGGCTTGCAAAGACGGGGCGACCGGAAGTCACTTGGGACGCAAGCGGCAGTTCATGTTTGTAAACAGCCAAAATGGTCTTATAATATGAAAAGCTTAGTGACGTCACTCCCCACGTCGCAAGCTGCCGTCACCGCGGCAGTTTGCACAACAGTAGTCTTTACCGGGAAACGTATGTGGTAAGCGCTGCGTGCTTCGCATTGTTATCAGGAGCGCCTTATCATAAATTATCTGGTTCAGATGCTTGCTCTATGCTTGTTCGTTATTGAAACAAATGCTGTGCTATATGTTGAATGCATGAAAAGCACTTTTAGCGTCAATCGTTAAAGTTTTTTTTTTTTTTTGTGTGTGATGACGACGACACGAAAGAATGTCCGAAATCCTAGCTGCGAGTCATATACAGCTTTGCTGTAGTAAATTGGTGTACAAAACGTCTTACCTAATTTTGGCATAAGTTAGAGCAAGGAGGAGACTCTTGAGCTATAGATCGAAACATGTTTTGTGGAAGCGTCAATGGGTTTTAATAGTGACACAGTATAAAGTGAAGTTTTTTAAACAATTTCTGGTGTCAATGGTGTCATAAATATTGAAAGGCAACTCGAACACCGAGGTCTCGGTTATTCTGTGATATTGTATTATTATGCAACCTTGAAAAATATATTCCGATAAGTCATCGAAGTTAGCCAGCAAAATTCGAATATAGTTCTACATTTTAAGACAATTAGAAAACAGTGATGGTGAGTTACTAACCTTGTATATTTATACTATTTTTACATAGCTTATTGTATATGGTATCTAGTTTGTCAGATTGAATGTAAATGATTA